TCCATCCAGTGGTGGCTACGAAAACTTACTATTGAGTACTTGAATGTCTATCAGAACGATCTACATTTGCGGTAAATCGCGCGGTCCTCAGCACATGTTCTATTTAGCTGGTGACTTATTGCCTTAGGAAGATTTTTTTCTCTAGAGTCGAGCAAAAAACGTTTCCGGCATTACAAATAGTTCCACCTTGCGACTAAAACTCTTCAAGGACGGTAGTGATTTTGGGTGTATGTTTACTTTAATCTGAATGTGCGATTAAAATTGTAAGACTTCTCAGTTTAAGTGGCAGTGCTTGGAGAATGAAACACAACTTCTTCCCATGAGCACCTTTCACCGACGATATGTAGATACTCTATCAAAAAACTACAAGCGAGCATACATGACTTGGATTTCCACTAAAGTCGTTTACGTATGGGAATTACATATACCAGTTTAGAGTTGGTCGGATAAATGGCCCATTTCTCTTTCCTTTTTAAGAAGCATTTTTTTCACTGCCCATCGCAAATCCCCATCCGGACTAATAATTGAGAGGATAGGGCTATAAAAAATGCTCAAGAGTTTAAAAAAATGATTTTGTTAGCCACTTTTAGATCAGATCGCATGTATGTATTTTTAAAGCTTTTTTTGAAATGGTGCGCCGTTTATGATAGAGTGACGATGAAAATCAAAGTGATTTCTTGTAACAGTTTTCACGAGGAAACAAGAATCTTAACTTGATTTCCCGAAAATCCTCCATCTATACTTTACTTAATCGGCTGTTTATTTGACGAGTTTTCGATACATAAGACACTGGTTACAATGGTAGAACGAAGCACAGTTTTGCTATACCTCCATTACCTCTGATACGTCGACTCCATTTTGGATCAGTGACTGTCCATTACAATGTCAGCGAATTCTGGGGAACTGAAGAATTCCGGAAAACACCATATTTCATTTCAAGTGTCTAGTAAGTAAAACTTTTCGTGGACTTTTTTGCATGGTACTTTACTAAACGTCGATGCTGAACATATTTTCGGAAAATTTTCACTAAAGAGTACTTTACGAGTACCTGCCCACTTTCACCGTTCCCAGATCCACCACGGCAAACAGTCACGGGAGGGGTGCGAGATGCGCGACAACTACTTCCGAGTGCGCCATGAATCGCTGTGCGCAGACGGACCCTTGTGGGCACAACCGGGCTGACGACGGGTCGCGTGCCGGCCGACTCGCACAACTGTAAAACAGTCCATTCGTGGTCGATGACAGGCGGCCTATTCCTGTCTTCGAGTGGTTGCTTCATATTCAAAGTCAGAGGGTGGGACAGCGATAAAAATCCAAGCAGGACTAGGAGAATCGATCTATTTTGCTCGGAAATGCAAAGTCAGCTAACGTTCTCAACTGTTAGAGCTATTCGAATCACATTGCTTATCCACCACTGTTGTTGAAACCAGTTAGAAATTTTCGGACGATGAGCTTAATCGATACCTACTGCCATTACTCAAGACAGATAAATTATTTCGAAAATTTACGCCTAATTTGGACTAGTTTTAAACCCAAAATCTCCAGATTTTCACTGATAGTATGGATAGTAATAGAGCCCAAAACCAGCACTAAACTATCAATTTTTTAAAATCGATTTTGTTTTGCGTTTGAAGACGTCTCTTCACAATTTGAAGCCGTTTTCTATGTTTCTCCGAAATGACCCGTCGAGAAAAAGCTATGGTCGAAAAGTAATCGTTTTGGGTTCTTGCGAATAAATTGTCAGTTTCGCCAAAATGCCAATGACATCTACGCGGCGAGTGACGGCGAATACAATTACTATAAATCAAATTTATAATGTTTTCGGTCAAATGCAATGTAGATTTCTTTTCCGAAGAGTTTTTTGTAGCCTTGATGTTTCTTCAGTATCTTTCTCGAGCACTTTTCTTGTGACGTTTGTCTATCGGGTAGCGCTTGGTGGAAACTCGGCCATACCATCGCTTGCGCCTCTGGCTCTCCGTATAGATGCGGTCGCCATGTCCGTGCATAACCGTTGGCAATGAAAGACATAGTGAACTCAACACTCGTCATTCAGTGTCGTGTCAAGGTAATCGAGAACAGACGACTTTAAAGGGATTGTCTTTCGAAGGAAATAGGAAAGGATTCTATTTACTCTTGTAAACACTCACAACAACTTTTGTACACTCTAAAGTAAAGCAAATCAATTTCTACAGAATGAAAAACAACTACGTGCCAGACCACTTTGGCAACAAGAATGTGGTAAAAAGAAAAACATACAAAGACGATCCAATGGATTTTCGCTGAGGATTTTGTGAATTAATATTGGTATGAAGTGAGGAAGGTCGGTGTGAGAATTGAAAGTAATGGTACAAGTTGCATTCAGGCCACTCGTGAAGAACCAAATTCAAATGCGAATGGCTCTTTATGACACATCCCAGTTTTTCTATAGAAGCTGTTCAAAACAACAGTGGTGAAGTTTTGTTATGACGGTGTAGCAGAGTATTTGAGGCTTGAATACATTCACGTGGTTGTTCAGCCGTGCTCAACTCTGACTAGCTTTCAGTCCCTCGAAAACCAAATAATTCACATGGCTTAAAAACTGATGCCCTTCTTTCCGACTGACTCCAACTACCGCGCGATGAAAAATTGCTTTGGATGCATCATTATAGTTGTGATCGCGACTTACGCTAATCCAACTCCTCGTAGCCGAGAACGTCTGTAGTGGATAGCCATTTCGAAGAGATGACTTGTCATTGTTCTGCACGAAGCTTCTCATCTGGTTCAGCTTCTGTCACTTTGAACTGTTGAAAACGCTTGACGTTTTCCTTTCGGGTTTGACGAATATTCTCGAGAAGAATCAGCGATGTCAGCCTTTATATTCAACGAATGAAAGCATTTATACTTGTTTTTACAGATATATATCTTCTATATTAGATAGCTTTCACACATGCAGAAAGCGTGTGAAGTTTACGATGGAATCCTATGTTTTTGTCCCATGTGCACTGTTGTGTGATAAAATTGCAACCGAAAAGACCCAAGAAATTCATTGTTGTTTTTTCTACCAAGTTCTAGCGCATGCTTATATGTTTTAGAGTAATCTACAAACACCTAATTGTCATTTCTCATTTCTCATCGTTAATATTGCTAGGGGGACGGTAAGGTAGCGGCAGTGATTGCGTTTATCACGGGCACGATGCTCGTCCGTCTCCGCACCGAGTACGCTAAGCCTCTCAACCCTCCGTGGTCGAAAAATTAGTAGCAGACCTCCCAGACCTTTCTGAACACATCTCAATTCCTACGACCTAAGTGGGATCGCTCTAGCCAGGCCATCTTAGGACACCGGTCAGAATCGAATCGACCAGCGTTCGATGACGCTCATAAAGAAGACTTCAGTCTTCAAGCAGCAGCCCAACCAACACGCGAAAAGTTTCGAAAGCTTCATGGACGATGGATGGAAGTAAACGATCGAATGCAGAAAGTGCTGTGATCCGCTCAGTAAATGTGGAGGTGGCCGTATAAAAGAATTATTTCTGGTAGAAAAGTGTGAATATATTCACACTATTTTTATCGCATTACAAACAACATTGAAGGCTAAGAAGTATGGCATCGACAGTTTTGTACTCTTTTCTTCTCCTTTCAGCTCGCATGATGAAACTCCAGTTCCACTTCTCCTCATAATTCTATCGTCGTTCTTTGCGTTGCGTTCACATCCAACATTTTCATAGAGATATCGAGGTCATGCCATCCAGAAGGGCATAACTCTATCTAACTTTTATTTACCTATTGTTATCTGTCCCACTAAAGTTTTCAAACCTAATTTATTTCATTCGAGTTTCCAAACTAGCTTTTTGCCGATGGTGCACACCTACCATCACCCTTAAATGAGTATTCTTCCATATTCTTTTTCAAACGCGAAGAAAAATAGTAGGTTGCGAAAGATGCATATGAGGAGTGGCAAACCACACGTTTTTTATATGAGGACAGGTGTGCATGTGTATCTGTGAGAGAGGGGTTTGTGAGGGAGGACGTACGGAAAAAATTGCGGGAAGACGACGCCAAGGTTGACGGTGTCATTATGGACGTTAAGGACAGAGAGATGTGTAGTGCAGGTATAGGAGACCTTGGAAGTTAATGGTCACTCTGTGGATCTTTCCATGAAGGAGGTGGCGTCTCCCATCAGGTGGTCATAAGAAAAAAACCTCTAAATAACCGTTAATATAGAGCAGAAAAACGTAACAACAATACCAAAAAGATTTCAGGGTAGAGCAGAAAAATGTGGTAGTTATGTCTTCCAGAAGGAGCAAGAGACCATGGGAGAGATCTAGATAGGGAAGGAGTGAAGAGTGGATGAAATGGTGTTTATTCTAAAGTTGCAAATTTCTTAATAGCAACTTATTGCGCGGTTGCTCTCAAACGTGGGGAATAGTCCGTAGGAAAAAAAATGGAGAAATTAAGAGAAAAATAATTTTTAAAGTATTTTTTGGCCCAGGCTTTAACCTCACAAACTAATGTGACCTGCACATTTCCGTCACTGTTGTTGTTGTCGGGCGCGTGTGGCACAGTGGTTGGAGGCGCTACTGGGACACACGTGGAATCAGTCCCTGCACTCATGGTTCACCAAGCCTTCCGTCCCTCAGGGGTCGGCAAATTGGCACCAGACTTGTATGGGAGGATAGCAGCACTGGCTCGGTACATCGGTAGGCTACCGCGAGTCATTGTAATAAAGGCCAGATATGCATTCAATCACCTCCAACGATACTTAATGACGTCGAATGCACGGCGCATCCTTCAGGGATTGATCAACGCTAGGAACTTTTTTTTGACGTTGTTGCTGTTGTTTTTGTTGTTTTTGTTGTTGATGCTCTGCCGATGTTTTTTCATGCTGAAGAAATTCCGCTTTACACATTGTGCACTTTTTGAAATATGTTTTTTTCTGCATATTGCAGCGCTCCTGCGAGGGATACTTTCTCAGTCTGAGTGGTTGGTAAGCGAAAACTCCGTTTCAGTCGCTTCACCAAAGAATGCTGTTGCGACTTCTGACGAAAAGCCTGCTTTTGGCCGTTGCCTGGGCAGCGTCATCCGACATCGAATTCGAAAACTCACTCACTGGTACGACTGCCAACCCATTCTGTTGTAGTTCAAGTGCAAACGAAGAAAGCTGAGAACAACCAAATAAGCGGGCCAAGGCTGCTATCTAGCAGATGTTGAATACTTACAACCAAGTGCCCTAGATTGTCCAAATATTTCAATTAAATCATTCTAGTCAAAAATTCCTTGATATTTCCCTCCAGAAAAATTTCTTTTCCCCTTTGTCGCCTAATCCTTAAAATAAGAGTACGCAGGGCCGCATATAGGGAACTGTGGTATAGAGAACACGCAGAGGAACGGATATAGCGCCATTCTTCAAGATCGTTTGTATCCAGACAATTTTTAGAATGTAATTACGTAGAGATGAATACCCGAATAAATCGTGCCACATTTATATTCCTCACAGCATATGACAATTAACGGCAGACGCTAGTCAAGGCCAGATAGTGTACAATCCATCGCAATAGAAAACATTGCCACCCATCCAACTCGTTTTTCTTGAGTCTTAATCATCCACTACTTCATTCACCAAGTTCCACCAGTATGAATGAAAACAATGGGACTTCAAGAACAGTCGTTAGGCTCTTCATGAGCAAAAATCAGTTCGGTTGACCTAACAATTATTCGCCCTAAGCTTCAAAAATTCAGCAAAAAGTTTAGCCCGTTAGATATAAAACAAGTCGTTGCGTATGATTTTAGGTGAGATTCTAAAACTCACGGCAATAACCTGTGCACATGGACTATCAACTGTTCATTATCGGTTATAGATCAAAGTAGAATAGAACATGCGAAACATTTGAACTAAATTCCTTCTGTCCTTTCAGACAAACCGGTAATAGAATGCGGCCATGGTAAACTTTCGGTGAGTGTTAGCACCGAGAAACAGCCACCATCGCATGTTTTCGCCAAAGGTCACTTCAACCGACCAGAGTGCTCGTTCCGCAATACCACACAGGCTGTGTTCGACTTCGAGAAGTGCGACATTAACCGCAAGCGTGAGGTAGCCGCTTAAGGTGTTTATTTCAACGAGAATCAAACGCTTTTATAAAAAAAGAAATGGTTTCCCTCGATTGCTGCCAAGGATGAGTAGAAATATCAATGGGCAAATCAAGAGTTGATCCAGTAACGTGACCGTCAACCTAACCTTTTGAGTTTTTGAGTTTGAAAACGTAGAGTACACGTAAGCATCATTTTGAAATAAGAAGGTGATTGCTGACAAATCTATCAACAGCACTGAGTCGGCTCTTTAGAACTACGACAGCTTGATGATCAGTGCCAAAATAGTAAAGGAGTCGTTCCAGGAAAAGACGATCTTTTCCTTCTTATTTGGGGGTAACTAAAGTGCATAGAATAAGAAAGATTTGTTCTTTTCAATGCAGACAAAAGACAATGATTTTTACTCGAAGCGCTAAATTAAGTAAATTATTGATTAGTACACCTTAGCCATCAATATCTATGATTTATACATATGGGCAGCTTTCAACAAAGTCTGTAGGGAAGTCCGCGAGACCAATGTTTTTATTATGACAGTGGAAGCATAGAATAGAAATAATAAATATGTCTATAACTATTTTTTTAACCATGGAAATTTAAAACTAACCCGAAAGGCCTAAATTGAAAAAAAACGAGCGCCGTTTATTTTTCGTGTGCCGCGAGCAGAGCGATGTTTATTCGTCATGTACGCCTACTAAATACGATTGGTAGTTGTAGGTAGAATTTAGGCGGCAAAATATTTTTTCTAAAGTACTTTGTAAACTTTCCTTCCAATATTCTTTTCATTAAGCTTTCCACATGTGTTAGAACGTCTCGTGCCATAATGGATCTTCCCACTTTTTATTCGTGTAAAATGAATTTGTGAGGTATTCAAGGGCAAACACAAGTAATTCAGTGGTTTACATGGATGCTTGAGAAGAATGAAATTGCGCTTAACTGAAACGACTTAAAGTCGTTGTTCGGCTGTTTATCGGCCATTCAGTCCAACATTCCGCCTGGACGTGACCTTGTCATTTAACGGCACTTTCCAGAATAGCGGACGCACTTTGTCCAGCGATTCACTAAAAATTACCGGCGGCGGATTTTTGTAGACTTAGTGTCATCTACTTGGTGCGGAAAGCTGGTCTGTATGTGGGTTGATAGCAATCTGTTCCTATCAGCAGTGTACGTTAAAGCGTTTCCATTGCCTTTTTACTCAGCGCTAACTGCTTTACTAACAGGATTCCGGATCGTAGAACTCTATGAATGTCGAGATAAGAGCAAAGCTCGCAGCTTATCTGGACCTTGGGCCCAGAATTACGCGGGGCTCACGTGCTATCCACCACACACCAAACGAATGCCTTGATTTACCTTTCGCTCCACTGTGTCTTAACCGTTCTATCAGCAATCATTCGTCAACAGGAATGATCTGGGGTGTACAAATCGGTACTGCACCTAGTTAAGCTGAACCTGCGGTCGAAATCACATTGCATTTTTTCTGCCTATTCTTTTTTCATAGCAAGATACGATGTAGCGTACAGCCATTGGGATGCTGAGATATGAGCTAAATTCAAAAGCTCAGGTGGGCATCGAATCCACTTTTTGCGACCTTCGCCCATAAATCGGCATCCCTTTGGTTGTACTTCATATCGTACCCTGCCATAAAAAAAAGAATATGCAGAAAACAGATGTTAAAACATCGTAATCTTGTATGATTCTAACTAATTGGATAAATAAGATGATGAGACCATCGACGTTGATCAATCTTTGAGGAATGCGCTATGCATTCGATCTCGTCATGCGTCGTTATAGGTGATTGAATGCATATATGGCCCTTACATTGATTTGAGGCAGCCTACCAAGTGAGTGCAGCTATCCTCCCAGGCCACTCTTTTAATGATTTTCCGAGCTCAGAGGGATGGATGGTTTGGTGAGCCTTGGTGCAAGATCGTACCAAAGACAATGAAGGACATTTACAACTACTGAGCTCCATTCTCTCGAGCTGTTATTTGTCGTAGTTACAAGTGTTTAAATTGTCGAGCTACATAAGGTCGTTATAGTTGTTACACAACTTTATTCGGTTAACGTTTCGACATTTTCGTTTTCATCAGAGCCGATGATCCGTGTCGATGATCCGCAGTTGTTCGTCTTCTCGATGTGGCGTCTTCGCCTTCGTATCGGTTATATACTCTTCAGTGGAGATCTTTCTATGAGACATACCCACCACGCGATGCTCATTGATACAGGGGAATGGATGTTGATAATAGTGTATATCCGGTGATAACGACTGTAATGACTATCTAATGAAGACGAAGACGTCAAAACGTTAGCCGAATAAAGGTTGTATAACAACTCCTCGTAAGCTCAACAATTTAAACACATGTTAACTAATCATGCCGAGTTTAAAGGAAACTCGATTTTTAAATGTAATTAAAAGTTGTAGTTACAAGTATTCAGAAATGTTTGACGAAGAGTTTAAGAGGAAGTGTTGTCCGTATTGTCACTTTGTCTTCTCAGTTATGATAATAGCTGTTATGTTGAACTTGATTTCTTCATCCATGAATACACTTGTCTAAAAGAATGAGACGATTTAAATTGAAGACACTGAATGACGTTTTTAGACGATCTTCTGAACACGTAGGTGTAACACAGTTTGCGTCAAGGTTCTATTCAGTAATTTTAATTGCACAGCCGAAGAAAAGAGCTTTTTATTTGATGAAATTATTCTATATGTTAAGTTTTAGTGACTGACATTCAATGAGGGCATTCACCCAACTACGAGGCGGTTACAACAATGTTTTTTTGTTCTTCAGCTCGGGCGATCCTCTCGTATCATAGCGGCTACTAAGCGTTCCGAGAATATCCGTTAATGACATTGGCAGAAAGAAACAATTGTATGAGTTTTGTGGAGAATCGATCATATACAATCAGCCTGAGAGGATATTGAGCAGTTAACGTGTCATGTGTGCCTTCCTCCAGCAATCATTCACGTCACTCAACCACTTGAGCCTTAGCGCATTTCAGTAGAGCCGCGAGATGTTTGATGATCGTTGTGAACTGGCGCGCGCTGCCTATCGTCCGCTGGCACCTGAATGTGCACTTTTTTCTCCTGCAGTTACTCTATGACCGATTTCATCAAGGCAACCGTCTTTCCCTGACCATTCAAAGGGTAGGCGTACGACTACATGAGAACGACTTACACCAACCAAATAACTAAATCGGTTGATTACAAGTATTTTTTGACTGAAAACGAAATTACTAAGCAAAGATAAACAGTTAGAGTTGAAGTCGTGCGCTATGACGTGACACTAGGTGTTGTGAAAAAAAAATATAACTATCAATATTTACGACGAGTGTGAAGAATGCGTGGGATAACTAGAGCTAAAACAACTTGGTAATGAGAATGTCTGGATGAATAGACTGCTTGTCCATTCTACTCTTCTAGACACGAAGAAGAAGCGTTCTCCAGAGACACTAGTTAACGTTAAATAAGTCTTGTGTTAACAAGCTCGTGTTTACTCGCCAAGATACCAGAAGCTTAAAACACTCCGTTCGCAGCGGTAGTCAATTAATAATAAACATGTTCTTGCTAATTCTCATAAATCTAGCTAAAAATAGAAGCAAAAATTCCTCATTAGTGAGGACTAGCGCATTCGTGTGTTTCTGACATTCACTGAGACTTACGCAGTAATGTGGTTTCCTTTCTCAGTATTTTTAGACATTTTAGTTTTATGAAGAACCTAGTTTGCATGCGAAGATGTGGTTTTCATTTCTGAGGAGGTGTCCTCTGCTTCTAGGTGAATCCTCGCGGGATGGCATTCAGCATGACGGTGGTCGTCCAGTTGCATCCGTTGTTCATCACGAAAGTAGATCGAGCGTTCCACGTTCGCTGTTTCTACATAGAAGCTGAGAAAGCAGTTGGAGCGCAAATCGGTGTTAAGTAAGTGCAATTCTTTACTCAGATATCTCCAGAAAAATTCATCGAGCAATTCTTGTTTTTAAGGCTTGTAGATCCCCACAACTACAGAGCTAACAATTGGCCTTAAGATATAAAAATGTTAAAGTACAGTTTGATTTGGGGTTATCGCGTAAATTCTGTAAGTGGAGGAAAAAGACGGGGTAAAAAGAGCACATATAGAACAGCTAGTAATTTTGATCGTCTTTTATAGATGAGGCTCAATTCTCGTTTTTCTTCTGCGGAAGCATGTCATTGTGGTAACCTTCAAATCTTGCTAAGAACTAGAGGAATCCGATTAGACAATGTCTAGTCAAAAGGTGTAATACTTTTAAGCACTAGAAGTGCTTTCGAAATCTGAAGCCAGTGCCGGAATTTGTGTAAAAGGTTTCGGTTTGGAGCTCATAATCGTCTTTATTCGACAAACTGCTTTACGATGATTTTATTCTGTAGGAATACGTGCTCCCGGATTACGCAGTCTATCGCGGCTATTCACAAGTTAGTTCGGTTATTGTGAAGAGCTCCACCATAACCTTTTCGTGATATTCACTTGTGAACGGACACCCGTGAACTCGGATCCCTGCCGTCCATGACTCATCGCCAGGCGCTAGAATAGCATCGCGAACGACATGGCCCTTGAGGGATTAGGTTGAACGATACTTGTAATTCCATGTTTGAGAGCGGAAAAACTCGTTCGCAAACGTAGGGAGTAAGGTTGTTACTGCCACGATACGAGAAACTCCAATTCAAAGGACTCTACATCACGTGACTTCTGATAATTAGCAGTCAAGATCGAGAAAAAAGGTGAAAAAGTGTAGTGATAGTGGATGTGATGTGAAAGCGCAAATTCGTGCAAAACTGACAATGCCGCAATGAAACGAAGCAATTTCTCGTTAGAATCGTAACTTAAAACTTGGTAATCCAAAAGGTATCTGGAAGAAATCCTTTATTACTGCTAGACTTATTGCAGATATGAGAATCGATTTGTAGAATTGGAGAAAGAATTTGTTTTTAAAAGAGTGCAATCATCAGCAACTTAATTGTCTACGTATTAAGGGCATTCAGGTTACTTGGTAGTAATTTGAGAGCGGTCATGACAGAACAAGGTCACGTAGTTGAACGTTGCTTCACGACACTTCAAAGAGCTACATTGTCTTATAACCTCAGTGCTGAACTCAGAGACATTCACAAAGCGATGAGATTGGATTATGATGCGGTCTTTGATTAGTTTGTCTGAGCGGTACTAAAGAACTAGCTGTAATTCTCAATTAGAGAGAGTACGAATGAGCTTCCGATCAAACTTTGCGGATTTCCGAACTAAAAGGTTTGAAGCAGGAATCCGTCTATATCGTACGATCCTATCTGTTTTCTGCCGCGACGTCTCTAGGGTTCGTTTTTGAGGAACTGAAGTGCACTAGTCTGTGCTGTCCTGTTTCTTGCACTTCGCGTTAACGCTGGAGAACGATGAACTCGTCCACAACTAGCTCGCTAGCTCTCTGAGGGATATACTAAAGTGCCTACCATTTCCTTTTCAGAAACTCGCAGAAAGCTTCCAAAAACTGTTACTTAATTATGAAATGTGTTTTTGTATGAAAACCAATCCCACTAATTAGATGTGAAGCAAGACGATTATTAGGGCAATACTGATTACGAATAGCCAGTTCTCTACTCATTCATCTGTATTCAGTGACGCTTGATTTTTCTTTTTCTGAACAACTACTGGGCGAATTTAGACAACAAAGCTTTATGAGGTTGCTTCAAATCTCCGGGAATGTACTATGGTTTAGTCATATCCACAAATTTTAGACGGGTTTGTGGATCATTTTTGACACAGTTCTACCAGATCCTCTTTTCTATTTAACATTACGTCACGTAATAAAGAGCACTTCCTGCGTATCCCAAGTTTAAAACGAACTCTTGATGAGTTCTTGTAAGACATAACCACTGTGAAAAAACAAATTTCATCAAATAACTGAAGACTAAAGAAAAACTGTGAACCGCCGGACCACACAAACTGAATTTTTATCCAATTAGTGTTTTCTGACCCTGATTCACAGTGTAGGGCGATGGCTTATGGCTCAAAGTTTACGCAAAGACGAAGAACTGATATATATAGGGAATGGGTTAGCGAACACATTTAGCGTTAAAGCATTTATATGCATTTGTTCCAATTGTTTCAATCAAAAATACTTTACAGCGAACTTGCGACAGCCGTCGTGTCCAGTGAGAGTGCGAAGCCAACATGTCGCTACACTCTTCATAAGGTTTGAATTTTCAGTGGCATCTATCGAGGAGTTCAATAAACCTTCTAAAAAGAGTAAAATGAACGGTCTTAACCGATTTTTGTTTTTTCCATGGTAAAATTTACTGCTAATATTAATATTTTTATCGTTCTCAATGCAACAATGCTATGTAATATGCAATTAAAGGATTAAGTGCGTAGCATGGATTAATCCCATAGGGATGTGCCAATGTGCCATTAAAAGAGTAGTATAGGTACTTGGATCTACACTAGGATTACACAATGCCTTATGTGAGCCTCATGTTCTGTCACGTCAGTGTTTTATTCTCCCAGGTAAGTTTTGTGTCACTTCGCTGACTAGAGAGCTAATGATTGGCTTGGCTTCGCTTGTCTGCACCGATCACCATGTGGATTGCAGAGTAGTTGTAGCTACTGCGCTACGTGCTCTCAGTGTGTAATAAAGGGAGATTTTTCAGAATTGTTTTAAATTGTGCAGTATTTAGATAAAAATTTTAGTAATCCTAGTGACTTATACGTTAAAGCGAGTTCAGAAAGTAATCAAAAAAGTAAGTTAGAAGTAGACTACAGCCTTACTGATTGTACTTTCCAGGAATCGTCGAACGGACCACTGGTTAAACTCGCTCAAGTAGGTGATCTAATCTACCATGTATGGGACTGTCCGTCGGATGTCTACGGCATGATGATCCACGATTGCTCCATTGTCGATGGACAAGGCAACAACCACACCGTAATCGATTCACAAGGGTGAGCTGGGTTGAACTTTTGATGGGCAATGAGCAACTACGGAGACCTGAGATGAGTCAGTGAATGTGGTATGCGACTGTATATGTCGAGAAAGTGATCATTTGACGTAACACAAGGCAACGTTTTATTAATTAGACAAAGGTAGAATCGTTACGAGCGGAATGAGCAGCCAGGAAGTAGACCGAAATAGCGACAGTGTCCGCAAGTGGTGCATCACTGCACTGCATCATATCGCATTAACACTTTCTTGCTCAGTTCTTTTGGATTTGCTAGTATGTAGCATCGCGGAGGCAATGACACATTTGTATTACTGACCTTGTATCTGGTAATGATAGGTTGAAATGATATGATACGTGTCATTTTTTCAGCATGCGTGTGGTAATCTCTAGCGCCTTTGCCAGTGAAAAGGAAGGAATCTAACTGTAGACGAAAAAAGAACTGTTTGATTCGTAGCTAAAGTGTTAGCCGGAAAGCGCCGACGAGAAGCCACGCACTGTCCATAATGACCCATGCTTAATGAGGCGTACTAATGCAGATCGGCGCCAGTGTTTTTTACCGTTTTTTTCCAATGTAATAGAAAGTTTTGAGAACCTCGTTCGAATTGAGATTTCTACTAGGAAGAATCTACAGTGCATTTCTACCAGATTCGCTCACTGAATTACAAAGTGGAAGGTAAATCTTTTTGGGGACTCACATGTTACCCATTGCACCACCGACGCCCTTGTTTTGCCTTTCTCTGGGCCAATTTTTTACTCTAACGGTGTTGTCAGCAATTATCCATCAAGGGGAATGCTAGCCAGGAGTTCCGAGTTTTGCTCATGCCTCAGCATCACTGTGGCCTGTGGCTGCATTTCACCCAATCTTCCGTCGTGACAAAAAAAAGTAATCGGCAGGAAATAAAACTTGAACAAGACAAACCTCCCCAAGATGAAATAAACAGAGGAATGAAAAATGAACACAGGCTTAATAAAAATCGTTAAATTAGGATTGGCATAAAAAATTTTCTGTGGTTTTATTTAGCTTTGTTCTTAATAAAAGTTGCTTCGTCGTTCCGATAACTCCAGACGCAATTACAAAGTTAACACTGGTAAACTTTACACCGCCTAGAAATCTATAAAACACTTCTCAGTCGTCAACCACCTCTACCCGTTTAAAGCTGCGTTATTAAAACCTTTCAGATGTGGCAACGCCAACCCTTCCGAATCTTTTAAAGTGTTACGCGCCAAAGCTTCTAGAAGAATGGAATTGGGGTAGAATTTGCCACGTTTTGAGATGTCCTGATTGATGTGTACACCTTAGACGTTGGCTTCTACCTTTTTTCGTATTGTACAAAAATTGTAGTACACATCTTGTTCTGCTCTCCTTTCATCATTTGTAACGATTGGAAAAGAAACTGCGTATGAATGCATGATTTTTTCCGATTTAACTCTGGTTATCCTAAGCCTCACCTGAAACTCTGTAGCTACACGCCATTCCCGAACTGAACATGCCTTCAGAATTCAAATTCAGAGTGTAAAATGACTAAAATTCTTTGTTCGTCTAGCCTTTCAAATATTAGCCCACAATATTCAGATGCTCGACGGATACCTTCCTGATGCCTGAGCTGACTTATTCGGCTGATCTCACCAAATCATTCACGGTGATTTTTTAACGATTCGTGATCTAGATTTTAAATGAATGGCTAGATAATCTCGAATTATGGTTATCTGCCTTTTTTGATAAATACTGAACATGCATATTCATTGGGTGCTCATTCAGGCAGCAAATGCCTTCAATTTTCCCGATCAACAATCGGTCTACTTCAATTGTCAAGTGCGCATTTGCTACAAGTTGGACGACGGTTGCACGCATATCACGGTAACGCATTCAGAAATAGAATGTTGAAAGGCCAGAAGACAGAGTTGGTTCTCATCTACGAAGACGGTCATACTTGAAATGGGGTGAACTCACCAAAAATAGATCACCAATGTGCTGCTGTTTTCCTAAAAATAGGATTTTTGAGCATTTTTCTATTTCTTTGTGATTAAATAGAGCAATTAAGCCCCCACGGTGTGGATCGCTCAGTACGCAGAACGACAACCTTGCCAATGATCTGGACAACGATCAGCTTATAACCTCGTCTACAGAGGAAGTGGAAACAACGTCAAAGACGCCGGTATCGAATATTCCGCAGGATGTGAGCACAATAATTTCTTCATCCACTACTCCGAGAACAACAACTATACTCACTACGGTCACTGAGATCACGTCAAGTGGTACGTTTGATCGTTTCCGCATATCTGGACTACTCATGAATAAACCGTCCCATTTGACTTCTAAACGAAAGCTTAGAACAATATCGAGAACTACATGAACATGAAGAAAATATCCATAAGATTTTCAAGGTTTTTCTGCCTTGTAGAAAAAACCAGAATATTTTTAAAGCAATTAATTCTTAGATTCCTAAATTTTTTCTCTGATATGAAGCAAATGGAAGAAATTTTTTCCTCTTTGAAACGTGATGATTCTAGTGAAGCTGTTGTAAAAGTATAGGCTTCGTGAAGCTTCCCGATAAGTTGTCATAGCTGACTTAGAGTTCAAATATTTCTTAAAGTTTTCTACACTTATTTCGCATGGTCCGAGTTCATATCTACAATGCGGAATCGAACACTTCCATTCGATTCGTTCCATGGCATCCACTATACATGTTCGAACTTCTTGCGTGTCTATTTCAGTGCTACTGAAGATTTTCCTTCTCTTACTGAATGTCTTTGAATGCTGGTCCAACTTACACTTCCTGGAATTATGAGATGGCATGTAAAGGCTTTCTTGGGTGGATTAGAAGGAGTGAATTGATCCCAAATAGTCTGCAACCAATTCCTTGACTCCCGATACTAAAAGGCTTAATGGGGCCAGAGAAGGGTGGAACCAACGCTGTGCTCGTAACGAAGGATATTGATGTTATAAAATCACAATGCATTTCCTCTAATGAAAACGACGACTTTAAAATTTCACCTTAAGGCGTTTGAAGGTGTTAACTGGAAGCTCTTCATAACTTTTCGATTCCTGCTTCGACAGTCTTTAAACTTGATGGTATTTGATGGAAATATAGATCCTAGAATCCGTGCAGAATTTGGAACTGTAAAAAGCATCTTTGTTTTGTTTTGGTAAGGTCGGCCTTGAAAGTTACCGTAAATTCATTTCCTCATCTGAAATATGATGAAATTTTTCGTTTTTGTAAGAAGATCTTGAAGTACTTTCAAACCTGTTGTGCAAAGTTCTCAACTGACTACCATTTTCCACGATTACTTTATCCAAGGCACTATTACTACTGATGAGTGCAATACTTACAGCTTCAACGACAGCTGTTTCTTCCCTGAGTGCGACTGGATTTCCGACCCCTCAGACACTGCGCAATTATGTACGAATGAACGCCGATGTTTCTGAGAACAATATTTCAGAGTTAAACGACATTGAAGGCTCAGGCGAGGGTCGTGGTCAGTTCCGGGCACGTCTAAACCTTATGAATTCAGATGATAGTTTGATTCCTAAACGCCATGGATTATGCTTGATTTTTAGCCAATTTTCTCTTCTTTCTATTATGTGGGCACCAAATATAAGCAAATCGGTCTTTGTCAGCGGTTCTAAGTTATGGAGGTAGTAATTCACTCTTTTTTGATGAACTGACACGAGATTGGTATTACCGCATTTATTAATACAGAACAGCTGACGTTTGGGCAGTTTCGCTTTCCTCAGAGCCTGGAAAGGTCAAATTCATATACTTCGAATGGGACGAATACGTTGGTGAAACGAATAGACCACTCTGCATCCCTTTAAAACAGCACCTAGTCGGTAAATTTAAGTTGAAAGTAAATAGTCTTTTAAGCCCACGTAGAATACAAAAACCTAATGGAAAAGATTTCGAAGTAAAAATCACTATCCTTGCACTGGAATCAAAAAATCAGCGCATAAAACTCTTGAAGCGTTTAAGATTTATTCCAAAGATCCAAAAATGAACGGCAAGGAGGAGTGTCTCATAGTAACATGTGACCTTGTGCTCTACCTCGGGCTATGGCTGCACATTTCGGGCCTATGTAATAACTCTGTACGGTGGAGCTGTTTATTACGCGAATGGAAAATTAGGTGTTAAATTTTATCTATGAAGTATTATGAAGGTGATCGGCTTAGTAGATTACATGTCAACTTGACCTTTCCAATCTCTGAAGAAGACGAAACCGTCGAAATGTCAGCTGTTCTGTATTAATAGCTGTAATTCCAGTCTCGTCTTAGCTCATCAAGAAAGAAAGTGAATTACTGGCCAATGCCGAGGTTAAACCAAGGTCGTTCTTGAGTTTTGCTAGATGATGTACCTATAAAACTTAGCGTTCAGATGCATTCCAGCTGCGTAGAAGTCTTTGTTTTTAGGCCTTCAAATTATGAAGTCAGTTCGACCGACCCCAGTTTCGCTGATCCGTGCCAATCACATACCTGAGCAAGTGGGAGATCTCGTCGAAAGTGATGTGGTGCAGTTGAAGCGTGAAATGCGTAGACGCGATGCTGAAGCCGTCGACGTCGACATCTCTTCACCGGAACTCACAATCATCGACAAGGACATCGGTTAGTTTTTTTATAATGACGACGTTTTTTTCGATGGGCAGTTCTTCTTTTCTGCTCTGGTTTGTCATGCCTTCTGAATTGTTTCATGTTAAATGTAGATACTTCATAACCTTGAACATTGCTCTAGGAATTTCTGAAATTTTTTCGGTTTTCTTGTGTTTCTACCTCTTCGAGTAATCATATTTCCACTCATACAGTGTCTGTGAATTCTAAACACGTACCCTGTGAAGAGCCACCGCTTTTTCAAATTTTCTTGTCTACACACCCTGTGCTTATACCGCATTTCTTGTCCACTGCTCATTAATCATTTTAAGAGATTTGCTTCTAATGAAAACAATGTTTTTGTTCCCTTTTTTCTTACTAATGACCTCAGTTTTCCTCACGTCTCAACTCTAGTCATGCTAATTGCCGTTTTTCCTCTACAAGCCGTAACGTTTGCTTTGACCGCAGTGCGTCGAGTTTCCTAG